GTATAATATCACTGTGACCAACGGCTTGATTTCAGGCATCTCCTAGTAGTGGTCTGTGCCAGCAAACGAAATGCGAGCAGCAGACGCTCTCAGCTGCAGATCTGCAAAGCTAGGGGCAGCATCTTCCTGATGTCTTGCAGCGTAGTAAAACTTGACGGATACTCAGCTGTGTGCGTTATGAGTGAGCTGTTGGCTGTTAGCGTCCCTGATAGGACATGTGGCGCTGTTCCAATCTCTGTGCGATACAGTATGTGTTGGAGCCGAAGAGCTGCCTGGCAGGGCGGCCCATGGACAATGTGACAGCGGCAGAGCGCGAGCCGCTACATAGCATTTTTTTGTCTGGCAGCGCTGGCTTGGCTTCACATGATGGGCAACGAGACTATAGAGTGTTCACTACGCATAGTAGAACACGCTCGCTGGCCTAAACTGGGCACGAGGAAGTACGCTAATCAGTGTCAGCCGTCAGATTCTGATTGTGGATCTACTTCTCATCCTCCGCTTCCTCATCTTCATCCTCCTTCTTGCGCTTGCGTTTGCTCTCGGAAGCAGCTTTCTGAGCCTTCGCCATAGCATCAGTCAGCTCACGCAAACTCAGGCCGCAAAGCTGCATCAAATCGTTGTGATACCGAATGCGTGCATCGGCATCTGAAGGGAGTGGTTTTAGAGCAAGGGAAACCGATCCACCATCATTCTCCTGCAGCCGGATCACAGAGCATTGGTCACCAGCAGCTTTCATGACGATCATCCACTTATCTCTCGGCAAAGCCTTCTTGCCTTCACTCTTGGCGGAGCGCAGACGTGAGCACGCCTCACGTGCATCCATCTTAGGGGTCCCCATGAGCAAGGTCTGCCGAACAATGAAGCGGTCTGTCAAACGCGGGGCATGCAGATTGCCTTGGACATTGCTGCCATTGTGGCCATATCCGTAATCCAGAGCCCGGACGTCTTTGGCAGTCAGAAGTGCCAAAGGAGCATTCTCTACCGTAGGCGTGGCCGGCGCGGCCACGAGACTGTCCGCGGCGTTGGGCGCACGGGGAGCATCGTGATCTGAAGTAGCACCGTTGTCATCTTGTGGTGGAGGCTGGGTTGCTGGGAAGGATGCAAAGTCTTCATGCGCCCAAGGTGCGGAAACACTTCCTAGGAGGTCTTGCGCAGTAGGGGTGACCGCATCGGGGTCGGAGGCCAAGTCCCCCAACGCAATGTCTTTCAAACGATGCACCTCATAGATACGCGTGCGGAAACATGTTTAAGGAGTCTACATTATTTGCGGAAACACATTGCACGAAGCTAAGCACCTTGCTAACTTCAGCAGCGAGAAGGCACGCTGCAAATGGTCTTTGGTGACTTTCAGGTTTCGTTCCTCCAGAGCCTGGTTGCCATGAACACCACAGAAGATCTCATACACGAGAAGGAGCGCCGCCAGAACGCCAACGTGCCAAGGTGCAGCACCAAGGCGAGCCGCCGTTTGCGTATCACCTTTCTCTCGCGAAACGTGGCCTTGCACGTTTAAGCCCCCCTGGTAAGACAAATGCAAGGCGCGTGCCTCATCATCAAACTCCAATGTCATGTGAGGCTCATGGAAATACGTAGTGACACGTGACACTGCTGGTCCTAGAGTGAATCCCTCGGGGATTGGGAAGCTTCTGTTGGCAACCCTCCATTCTGCTTGGAAGCCTGTAGGTTCTGCAGGATCCTTGCGAAAACGCAAACGGCTGGAGATGCCATCCTTCAAGGTAATGGGATATCCGTCCGCGTGGGGCACGAACTGGTCCCCGGAAGCTCCATCGAGGGGGGCAGGCACCGGCTCGTCTCCATTGACTTCATGCCAAGCAGCCAAGGCCATGTCAGGCGTGGTTGCGAAGGGTACGCCAAGCATGCTGGCGACATCGTCCGCTAAG